TAATACAATACACTTGCAATATTACTGTATTCTCATCGTTATACCATAGCTTTGAACTCTTATTTTTAGAAACTTTAAGTTTTCTTTATTGTTTGGAAGATCATAGATAATTTACAGTATCCGGATTCATCAGTATCAATGGTGAATTCTACGACGTCTTCAACTTCTCAATCCCAACTATTTGTAAAGGTTTACAAAGAAGGAAATCTCATAGGGAGGAAGGTCGACCTTTACAAGTTCAATAGCTATCAGAGTCTCGAAGCCGCTCTCTCTAACATGTTCAATACTACAATTGGATGTAAGTAATTAACATACGTTTTGAAACATTATTTTTTCCTCTAAATTACCATGAAAAAAACTTAAAGATTTCAAAATACTATAAAAAATATAAATAATCGGTCATAAGTTATAGAATAATGCAAGATAGAGAAAGAGAAAAATATATCGTTTTGGAAATATTCATAAAAACGTACCGTTTTAGAAAGTCACAAATTAGACAGAAATAATGGATTGCAAACTCATCTTTGGTCTGCTTAAATTCATAAATCTTGATTCTAACAGATGATGACCATACTTTGACGTATTTAGACAAAGATGGCGATTGGATGATGGCAGGAGACGACTCATGGGATCGAGTATGATGATTTCTCACATCCACTATTCTCAGTCTATCATACTATATGTATATACATTCCCCTTTTTCTATCATCTTTTTAAAATCTCATGTGACTGATGACTCCATGTTTTGTTGCAGCCATTTTCTGACTACAGTGGAAGGATTGAAGATAAAGAAACCCAAGACTCCTTACAACCTAGCTTGATCATTTTTACCTCCTAATGAGATGTTTAGCAAAACGAACCAACTAGCTTAAACAATACCCTAGTCTTTTCTGAAAATTGTTTTATTTATGTTTCTGTTATAAATTAAACTCATTATTTATATTTTATACATACCAACTTTTTCAACTTCATATGTATGTTATGTTGTATTGTCAATTTGTCGTGAACTCCAAATTAAATTGATTCAGATACAAGAAACCGAACCAAATCAACAGCAATCCGAAATGGAACCAAACCAAGTTAAAACCGACTTGGATTAAACAAATAAACAGAGACCAGAACCGTAATGTGTAATCCATTCAAGATCCTTCCGAAAATGGTGACTTTACATACTTTTGAGTCTTGATTATGAACACATCAACGACCAGAGATGTCTCGTCTTGTTTCTGTTATCTCACATAATCTAGAGCTCAAGAGTCAAGAAGTAACCACTTGGGAACAACAAAAAAAGAATGACTAATCCCGAGAAAATTTGTATTTTGGCTAATCAAGAGCCATATTTTTCTTCATAGCTTCATAAACAATGTACGTGATGCTTGCTGCTGGAACTACTTTGAGAAGATTAGGTAAGAGTCCTCTATAGAAACCTCTAAGACCTTCGCCTCTCATCGTTTTCATAAACTCTTGCTTCATCGTCGTCTCTGAACTATCCGCTTGCATTCTGACATGACAAGGATCAAACTTGCTTTTACAATCACAGACAAGAAAGAAAACAACACAGAAAATTTGGTATCTTTTGAGTTTTCTACCTTGTTCTTACGACTTGTAACGGGTAAACGCATGATGCTCCAAGAGCTCCTGATGTCATTCCGCAGCTGAGCTGTATTAGAGGACCTGGTTCTGCAGAAGTTCAAGGTAGTTTTAGTATATCAGAGAACAATCAAACGCAAAGAAAAAATGAAGATCTAAGGCTTCGATGTTCTAACCGGTGTCATGAAGAATGTATGTTCTGGACAAGTCTTTTAGCGTTTCATATGCAGCGAGGTCGATTCCTGCATAAGGGATAATCCCAAGAAGAGAAGGAAATAGACCCTTGTAGAATGCCCGAGGTCCCTCTCTCACCCATATATCCTTTGTGAGCTTCCACAACTTTGGTGCTTTTCCACCTTCACTTACACAAATCTGTAACCGAGTCTTCACGAGATCCATAGGGTAAATAGCGGTTTGGGCAATTGCACCAGCCATTCCACCAGCTAAAAGCCTCCCGCTTGTACCAATATCACCGTCTTCTCCCCCAATCATAGGTTTTAGCATTTCGTAAGCACAAAACTTAATGGCGCTTTCAGGAGCAACCTTCATGACATTTAACCCATTACCTCTGAAGAAACCCATCAACTTATCTTCTCTCCAAATCTTCTTAATGGTCGGGAGGACCCCTGCGTGTGCCCTTTGAACTTGCAAAACAACTTTCAAACGATCTAAAGGTGCAGTTGCAGTTCTAGAAACAGCTCCAGCTAGTCCTCCAGCGAGAAGTAATCTGCTTCTTTTGACATGTTTGCTTATACCATCCGGTATAACAGCTTGCTCCCCAATGTCTATCAAGCACACCCTTTCCCAGTGATGATATATGTTTTCAATGGTGGCTTCATGAGGGTATAACAAAAGAAAATCTCTCCACTCTTCGAATGTTATAGTTCCATTGTTGTCCTTATCAACATGCTCCACAAATCGAGCGAGTTCCTCATCATCGATTTCAATGCCTACAAGAACATAACTGTGGGGCTTATATAGGTTGGAGATACTCAACAATCACAAACAGTAAACATAAACGCTTCCTCATCACAAGACTACAACACCGATTAACCAAAGAACACATTGTAACATCAACACAATACCATTTGCAAATGCACAAATCCTATCAAAGGTTTGAAACCTACAAGACATCAATGGAACAGTGTGGTGAATCACATACCAGCTTTAACAAGAGCTTCCCAAAGCTCCTCAGGGAGAATGCAGCCATTGTGAGCAACATCAATGGCCTGGAAAATCCTGTAAAGCTCAAGCTCCTTAGCGTCAATGTATCGACGAAACTCGTGATAATCCACACGCCCATCTCGATTCGCGTCGCAGACTCTAAACAAATCCCTAGCATACTTGTACTCAGGAGGAATCTGAAGCGAAGCTAGACCCTTTTCGATCTGGGCATAATCTAAAAACCCTAGGTTCGAATTATCGAAGAAATCGAACAAACTTCGAATCCTGATCTCTCTCTCTTCCATGGTCTCACGTAACGCCAATAGAACATGCTCCATCGTGATGGATACAGGTTTCTTCGTCGTGTTTCGGGTTTTGGGTTTCGACTCCATTGCTGATTCGCCGATCAAAATCGAGATTTACCCAGAAGATTAGAATGCTTCAACAAGGGCTATTGAATGATTCTACGGATTGGGTCATAATACAAGAGATTGTGACCCTGAGACTTCAAAAGAGTGAAATTTCTGGTTCTGGGTTTTCGAGGAAGAAGAAGAACTCAACAACGGTGAATGAGTCTCTTCCCGTCGAAGACGAAAACACAAATCCC